AGTATGTAGCAAATGCCATCAGCTCAAAGTGGGAAGAAGGATTCAGAGGGAGAAGTGCTCCCTTCTGACAAGAGTCATCAAGGAGGGCTACAGCAGAAAAATCAGGATTTCAAGGAGACCTGGAAAAGAAGGTAAGATTATAATAGGGCCAGAGAAGGTCAAGGGGGGTATTCTAAAGTGTAGAGAACTTCAAAAGGAGAGAAAATCCCCCAAAAAGTGCAAGAGGAGCTGTGTGCACTTAACATTTGGCTGGAAGTCAGTCCATGACAAGATTGGTAGGGATGAAATAAGACTGGAAGATTGGAGCCTTTCGGGATGACCAAAATGCCATGCCGAGTGATTTGGACCTTTTCTAATAGTCAGTGTGGCACCATGGAAGGTTTTGAGCGTAGGGCGGCAGAGTCAAGGCAATGGCTTATAAACGTTCACTGGGCAATGGTTAGAGTTAAGGCAGTAGCTTATGAATATTCACTGGGCAATAGTTAGCAAAAGAGATTGGAAGCGTGTTAGGAGACAGTTTTCATAACTTTGTGAGAAATCAACAGAACCTAAGTGACAACGAATTGAAGTGGTGAGTATGAGGGGCATTTCAATGAATCTCTGAAGTTCAGACTAAGGAAACATTGTAATCAAAGGATCGTCCAAGCAATTTAAATGCCTATTGTCCAGAAATACGAACTTAATAATGGGTTGTCTAAAATCATTGTTAGAATTATTGACTATCAGAGTTGGAAGGAAACTTACAAATCATCTAGTCTCATCTCATTTTACAGGTAGGTAAGCAGGCCCAAAGAATTACATAATTTGTGAAAAGTTGCAAAGACAGTGAATGCCTGGGGAAGATACTCTAACTCAGGTTTCCTCAATCCTAGGCTGCCAGGGGAGCTCCCCTAAGAAAAGTATATGGTTTTAATGGTTGCTTCACCAAAGCACTCTTCAAATCATTCTTCTTTATTCTTTTCTTATATATCTGAAGGCCCCATTTCAATCTCCTTGGCTGGCAGCTCTTTCATTGTTCTTTAAAAACACTGTCCTCTCCACATGCTTTCACTCACTCCCTTGGCTACAACTAATATGTTTATATAAAAGCATCCAGATCTAAGCCTCTAGTCATGACCTTTCTCCTGACATCAAACCCACATTGGACATCTCTGCTTGAGTTCCAAAATAAAATGTATTATTTTCTTCTGCTACCTATTTTAAGTCTCCTAGTTGTCATAATGGAGCATCTAGTCAACTTAGGCTAGAAACCTTAGAGTCACCTTTAATTCTGTCCTCTTATTTACTACTCTAAATGTCTCTTGAAGATGCTACTTCCTTTCCATTTTACTGGGACAGCCATAGCCCAGGACTTTGTTACTTTCCCCCTGGACTACTGTGCTTATATTCTAACTGGGGTCCCTGTCAGTCTTCTCTTCCTCAACCCATCCATTTTCACAATGCCTTTCAATTACTTTCTTTAAATACACATTTGCATCTGTCATAGTTCAAGCTCTCTTGACTTCTTACTTGAACAGCCTCCTATCTGAGGGGTTGGTAAACTTTTTCTTTAAAGGGCCAGATAGTAGATATTTTAAGTTTTGAGGATCATATTCAGCTCAGGTATGGTAGTACCATACATAATACATAAGGGATAATTGTGGCTATGTCTATAAAACTTTATTTATGATGTATAATATTTATGTGCCACAAAATATTACTTTTCTTTTTTTTAACCATAAAAAATATAACAACATTTCTTAGCTCATGGGTCATACAAAAACAGATGATGGGCCAGATTATACCCAGGGGCTATAACTGCTGGCCCTGCCCTAACTGGTGTTCCTGTGTCCTATATCAGCTCTCAAAGTTCACTCTCCAGACTGCTGTCTCAGTCAGGGTCCCGACCCAGAAAGTCGATCATGTTGACAGCCCTGCTTAAAATGCATCAAGAGTGACCCGTTACTCTCAGAATGACCCAAGTTCCAGAGTATGGCCCACAAGGTTCTTCCTCTGGTCCCCATTCCCCTTTCCAATGTTCTCTCCTATCAAACACTTAACCTGTCTGTAGAGTTTATGTTTTCTCCCATCTTTATGTCTTTGCATATATTGGTCCCTGTACCTGGGCTACCCACCCTACCATTTTCCACTTTGACAACTCCTATTCATGAACTCATTAATCAAGATTGCTGCCAAACATATCCTCCTCCTTGACTATCACCTTTCACTATCCCCTTTCACAATCAGCTTTCCCTGACTATCACCCTCACCTCCAGTGCAGAGTGAGCCAATTCTCCTTTCTATGTGCTCCTGTGGTGATCTTTACTTCTATCATTGCACTACTGTCATTCTCTATAACAATTGCATATATAGACCTTGCTTCTTTAGTAGAGTGCAAGCAACCTAAGGGTAGAAACTGAGTCATATTTTTCTCTCTATGTCTAGGGCCAAGGAAAGTACTTAAAAGATAGTAGGAGTTTAACAAATATTTGTTGACTAAGTGAATGTTACACTCACCAATTGGGTCCTTCAACATTGCTGAATTTCTATTTTCCATTTTTAAATCCAATTTAAATTCAATAAGGAGAAACACCAAAAAAGTGGTAGACTATTTTTCTTTCAAATTGACCTACTAATTTTTACTCCAGTTTTTAAATTTTCTTTGTCCCTGAAGATTTGGATCCTTATTTCATCATTACTTTGTAACATAGTTTTCACAGTCAATTTTAAACTGTGTTTAGAATATGCCATTTGAAATTTTTAAGTTGAGACTGAATGGTAAGGTGCTATCATGTGGGAGTTATGTATTTCAGCTGATCTATACTGAAAAAGAAAGACACAATGTTTTTTAGTCACACACCTGAGTATACTGAAGCAACAAAGAATGGTGAGGGGTGGCAAACTCTTTAAAAATAAAAAAAAAAGTAATGTATATCAGGAATAGTAAGCTCAATGACCAAGTCACATTTTCAGTATAAAAGAGAGGCATACACAGTTCCTTGCATTTCTAATTGTCATCTTTAAATTTATGGATGTAGACATTATAAAATATGAACATAAACTAAGCATAAATTGCTTACAAAAGAGTACTGCACTTAGAAAATAGGTAATTAAGTTTTATTTCCTATAAAACTAGGTTTAAATTTTCATAGAATTGGTGTAAATAAAACTTAACACACAAAAAAGCTTTCTACAGAACCAAGCAAAACCGTTTTTCTTAAGAACAAAGGAATTAGTTACCACTCGTCCATTTTCAGCAGTTACTGCATCTTAATATGCTCTGCTTGCAAGAAATTGATCTTGTCAAACACTACAAATTGATACTGCACAGAAAAACTCTCTATAGACTCTGACTTCAGAAATTAACTCTCTGAATAAGACAGAATGGCAAAAGGGGCAAAACCAGCGTTAATATTTATTTACTGAAGCTCAGCCACACTGAAACATTAAAAGCTGTCCCATTTCTATGGTGTAGTAGTGCTTAGCACACAAACGGTTAGTTCTGAATAGAAGTCTGACCGAAAAGAAAAACTATTAACATTACCATGATGAAGCTAAATTGTGAAACTTCTGAGATTAAATAACCACAGGAACTATGTTAACATTGTTCTCAGTCCTACAATTACAATAATTGGGCATTAAAAGAATAGCTATTATTCTGCAGTATTAAGCATTTTTTTCTCCTAAAAGTGTTTCATCTATTGGGATTTTTCCCAGATATCATACGTGTATAAATGATTTATTTTCTTCCTTTCCTTTCTCTCTCCTTCTTTCCTCTGTTTTTCTTTCATTGTTTAAAAGGAATGGTGTCAAATCATTTGTCATATCATCATAACAAAATGTTTTTAACAAAGTTTGATTTTAACAGAACCAGAGGCATCTTAACACTAACTCAAAACTTTGGGAGGTTCACCAACCTCCAGAATATTTTTTTTCCAAATGCAGGCTGTTCAAGTGGTACTTTTCTCCATCTGTTATCATACCGTGCTCAGAATTATATTGTCATATTTAATGTAAAAGGGATCAGTCCCCTTTCATAGTTTAAACTCAACATATTACTCCGATTGGGAGCTCAGTGTTTTTCTAATTTATAAACCAAACCAAATATCATAAACTTACATGTTTACTTAGACAAAGTTCTCTCTAAAAAACTCTAAGAACTGAAAATACTTAAAGGCTTGATCTGAAATTGAAAAATCATACTAAAACTCAAAATGAGAAGAAATCACTTATAAGTGACTATAAGTGGTAAAGTGAAATACCTACTATCTCTATTTGAATTTTTCTCTGTGTATATGTATTTGTGTGTCTGTGTGTGTGTGTGTGCGTGTGTGTGTGTGTGTGTGTTTCCAATACAGCAAATTCACAATACTGGTAACTTAAAAAGTCTTATTGTAATTTAGGGCTTAGCTTTATTAAAGTTTATGACATCGATCATCACATCACGATATCTCATTATGGAAACAAACTAATTTGAACTTTAATGGTGTAAGCCTGGTTATAATAATGATTTGAGCATGAACAGTGCCAATCAATTTCATCTCTAAATTTTACACCTCCTTAGGACCCAGATTCCTTATTTTGTATCAGTTCCATTTCAATTTGCATCTTAGGTTTTTTTTTTTTATTTTGTCTCTTTAACCACTGAACAGTTTTTTATTATTTTCCTAAATAAATTCCTCAGATCCTTCAGTTCAACATTGTTATTAGACATAGATTTAACAGGAGAGGTAGTGGTGGTGGTAGGAGAAATATGTCATTTTGCTTATAGTGATAGAGAATCACCTAAATATTTGAGCATTGTAGATGAAAGGTTTTGTAATATATCAGTAATTCCCTGCCACACTTATCATTCACATGTCTGGGTGTTTTGCTTACCACATCTCCACTTTTCTTAATATGCCTGAAAGCTGTGTGTGAATTGAATGACTAAGACTAACTCTAACAACTGTTTGGAAGCCTGTGGCAAAAATCAGTGGAATGAAATCGGTGCTATGGCGCATAATGGGATTAGGGAGTACCTGGTGAGGTGCAGTTGGTGCTCAGATTCGCCCAGCAGTTCTGTTAGTTTCAGGCACTCCTCTCTGGCCCGGGCTGCCTTCTGCTGCTCCTGTTCCAAGTGCTGCTTGCTTTCACTCAGTTCCATTCTCAATTTCTCTATTTCCTTAGGTAGAGAGAAGCGGGGAAAGCATCCATATAAAATATATGCACTTGAATTCAAAATTAGCTCATTTTTATTTCTGCCATGAATTTTAATGTGATGAAAAATTATTAGAAAATTTAGGCTAGCTTCCATTTTATGACAAAGGGAATTAGCACATCCAAAAATGCACATTAGTGAGGTTTTTTGGATTGTAAAATTAAGTCTAATTTTAAAAATAAAATGATTACATGAGAGTAGTCAAAATGGATAATTGCACTTTCAATCTAAGACTCAGTCCCTTTAAAATGGCACTACCTTAAAAATGTAACATTTTTGTTTAGGATTTAATCAGACACACACAGTGATTTACATCAAATATGTGATTTCTTATTCTGAAAGATAGATTATGGTTTCATTTAGATGTTTTGAAAACCAAATTAAAGGTTAAAATAATTTGAGATATTTTTTAGAAAAATATGAGGTATTAAATGTGGCATAATTATAATGTTAAATATTATTTGGAAAGAATAATACAGGAAAAAATACAGCATAGAATCTTTAAGCAATAAGAGTGTATTAGATTTCTGAGCTAAAATAACATTACATTAAAATTTGCATTTTAAAAAAACAACAAAATCTCTCTAAGACTAATAAATATGAACATCTAAAGTATACAAAATCTATGATAGTTTATTCTTTGGTTTCAAGATGAAATTATCCTTATCTTACTGAAGCTCAAATATTTCAAGCAAAAATGCCTTATATAGAACATAGTTTTAAATAATTTATATATTAAAGTAGAAATATTTATTTATCATAGAAAATCTGTAAAATTAAACAAGGAAAATAAAAAGATAAACATTTAAAAAATATTTAGTCTATTAAAATAAGAAAAACAAAAAAGAAGAAATGGCAGAAACATTTCAAATTCAGCAGAAAGCAAGAAGCAATTTTGATACACACAAATACAGTCTCTGTTTGAAAAATAAAATCATATCTAAGTAGAGTGCTTTAAAGTTAAACATATTTAAAATTTCCTTATGTCATTATGGGATATTCTAAACAATCTCCAGTTATATTTATAACATCATGCAAGATAAATAATTCATTTATATTTTTCTTATATTCATAACACTATAAATATTCAATTTATCAAAACTATATATTACCAACAATATAATAACTTATTATAAGTTCTCAAATATTGTTTTTTTAAACCTATGTGATAATAAATATATCACTTTCATTTAGAGTAGATTTTCTACATCTTTCAGATTGGAATACTAAGTGAAATCAACTTATTTCTTTAAAATATTTTAAGTTATTAAGTTATACCCATATATTTCCAATATCATAATTAAATATGACTAAGAGATGAAAAACATAATAGAAAAGTCTCTTAAATTTTTCTTATCTAACATTTATAAAATTAACAAAAACAAAGAAGTGTAGAATTAGAATTATATGTTGACTTTAAAACTTTAAAAATTCATTCATTATTTTTTTTAAAAAGTGCTATATGCAGGAAACTGTGCTAAATAATATTATGGACTCAGAGAGTTTCCATCTCTACACTCAGGACTTAATACTTCATCTTGGTAAATGAGATATATACACACAAAAAGACTAGCAAAATACAAAGCATATAAAAATACCAAATGAGTTGTAGAGAAAATTCATGCCTCAGTAGCCAGATGAGAGAGATATTATCATGGGCAAGAAAAGCGAGAAAGAAGGTAAGGGTACAAAAACTCATGGAATGATAGATTAGATCACATTATGAAAGGTCTTGAAATGTAGATTAATAAAGCTGTACTTTCCTTATAGATAATGGGGAGACATTAACACTTTAAAACAGGTATGTAATATAAGAGAAGTTGAGGTTAAAAAAACTGGGTCAATGTGTACAATTTAAGGTGGCAAAGAATGGCAGAAGGCAGACTGTGAAAAGATAGCTGCAGTATTCTAGACATGAGGGGTGGAGGGACTTAAAACAGAAATATAAAGAGAGCATGATGGTTTTATGGAAATAAAAGGAGAAGAATCAGAAGACCAAAGATGACTCCAGAATTTTGAATTGAGAGAATACAAAAGAATGACAGAAATACAAAGTAAATTTCAAACTTTTTTTAAAAGATAAAATTTTTATAAGCACTATGCAACAATAACACATGTACCTTACCCTGTTAATTCAGTTTTAAGTATAAATCAGCTACTTTTTTATTTTCACATAATAAAAAGTCAGAGGTTGCACTGAAAGACAAACAGAGGTAAAGAAGAACATGGGTCAAAGATCAGGGCTTCAGACACAGCTCTGACATTTTTCTGTGACCTTGGACAGGTCACTGAACTATTATACAGTTTCTTTAGTCTAAAATGGGAGTGATAACTGTAGCAAGCTGCTAAGACTATTGTGAAGATTACATTAGATGATGCGTCCTCAACAGAGTGCCTAGCACATCGTAAGAGCTGAATAAAAGACAGCTAGTATCATCATTATTACTGATGTTTTCCCTTTATCTTTTAAGAACAGCAAAGTGATAAGAAGAAAAAATGACCTAAGAATATATGACTATCCCTAAAGAGTTCTCGATTTAATTCAGTAAAATGTCCCCCTTCTCAATAAAGCAGCATCTTGGTGAAAACTGACTAAAACTTTATCAATTGTAATATAAAAATGTGAAAAGCATTTTTATTAGGAAGATGAAAAATTACTGCCTGCTTCTGATTATCCGTGCCAGCAAAAGAGCTTATTGGTGCAGATAATCAAAATCAACAAATAATCTAACCAGCTGGCCCAGGGTGCCACACTTACTCCCTGAGTCAGGAAAATCTGCCATGGCACCAAGTCCAACAGTTAGAAGAGAAATCTCTTGCCAGAAATGTCATGCTCCCACTGGCAGGATAACCCTTTGCCTCACCCAAGTAGGTCAGGGCTGCTTCCTTGGCTGTATAAGTGGCTCAGGGATGAAAGACCAACAACAGTCACAGGCCAATTGTGCATTATTCTCAAAGTACACTATTAACCTGCATGTCTACAGTGCAGTTTGTTGTGGCCATCCTTTGGTTAAGCAGGCAAAGGCAGGTCCAGATAGCTTTACACCTTACCAAAAGATATACTTCAAGTCATGAATACAACGGCCGGAACCACCAAAAGTAGAAACTGTTAAAAGTGGTTACCTCCAGACAATAGTGCTAGGGATGGAATACGGGGAAAGGGAGACTTGTTACTGTTCATTTATATCCCTCTACACTGTAGGAAGCACTTTTCTTTATCATGGACATGTGCAACTTTATTTGTATTACTAAGTTTTTTTGTCAAAGTATCGCACCTAATTTAAGCCGAATAATACTAAATGGCTCATAACAAGGAAGAACAGTGCCCTGCTCTGCCATTCATTCATCTCCAAACCTAATCCCCAATGGCACACACTATCAACTCTTCTGATGTTTATCTTCATATTTTCAAATGACAAACTTACATTGCTATTTCCTGATTTTGCAATGTTAAACTTTATATATGGACTTCCTACGTTAAGAAAGGTAATAATTTAGGTCTCTTATACCACTCACCCTACATACCCACCTCATGCTCCCATATAATAGTTTTGGTTAAATCACTAGTCAGTAATCCATTTACATTATAATGATTATGGAAAATTTGTTCACGACTGAGACAAGCAATATCTTCTTCAAATTAATTTTCTTATACACTATTTTATTATTTCTAGAATTGCCTGATTTTTAATAGTTTATTTTTCTAGGTAACTGACATTTTATCCCAGGTATTCAAACAGATTTGTCAAACACCCATCAATAATATTGTTTCAAATAACCAAACACATCAGATAAATTATAAGTTCCTTAAAAATGTTTCTTCCTGTATATATCCTCTTGGTGCTTCACACCTGCCCTGGTCGATCTCTGTCTCGTGGCAAGCCTTTCTCGTGTTCCTTTATAGTTTCCTGTTTTCTGGGTCATAAGTCATCCTGTTTCTCAATTTATTCCCATTTTTGGTTCAAGTATAATCTCCAGGTAATTTTCATAAGAAAAGGTATGTGGAAAACATATTTTTTTAGTATTTGCATGCCTGAAAATGCTGTTATTCTATGCCTACACTCAATAATTTGGCTGGGTATAAAATTCTATTTTGAAATTCATTTTCACTCAGGATTTTTAAGGGACTGCTCCACTGTCTTCAAGATTCTAATATCACAATTGAAAAGGCCTATGCCATTCTGATTCCTAATACTTGGTTTATGATTTGCTTTTTTCTTTGAAACTTTTATAATCATGTCTTTTTCTGTCATTTTAAAATTTTACAATGTTGGACCTTGGAATGAGGCCTTTTAAAATTCTTTGTGCTGAGTGTTCAGTGAGTCCTTTTCAATCTGGAGGCTTGTTTTCTTTAGTTTGAGGATATTTTCTTATATTACTATTTTAAAATATTTTGATGCCATACATTTTAATATTTCCTCTTCCTGGAACTCCTGGACATTGGTTGTTGGCTCTGTTGGATTGATTATCTAATTTTCTTACATTTTCCATCTCTTTATCTTCTGATGCTAACTTCTGGTAGATTTCCTTTACTTCATCTTCTAAGCCTATTGAATTTAAGAAAAATATTTCTACTGTATTTTTCATTTCTATGAACTATTTCTTGTTTCCACTGACTCTTTTAAACAGCATGCTAATTTTATTTTATGGATACAATATCTCATCTATTAATATTAGAATATATAGTGTTTTAAATGTTCTCTGCTTGTAATATATTGCCTCAGTTTCCTTTTTTTTTCTGTTTTACTGTTTTAGATGCTTCATTATGTTGTAGGCGTTCCTTGAACACATGCTAATACTTTGCTGTCCTTTTATACTTGAGAATGTGGCTGTTAACAAAAATGTGGATGTAATGGTTTGGGGGTAATATGATAGCTGAGATTACTGTTCAGCAACTTTTCACTCCTATCCACCTTCTACTGAGAGTGGAATACACTGTCTCTCCCCATTGACTTTGGGTTTAG